GCTAACGCAAGACTTCCCACAAATGCCCTCATTTGACTGAGCACAAGTTTCACAATGGGACCTTTTGATTCCAGTGTGGCAATCCTGTTCTTGTCCAGTAGCTAAGACCTTAAACTGGGGCCATGGACTGACAACATATGCAAAGGAAGATGGATTGCCAATAGCTTCCATAAGTGTTCATCTGATCTAGAGCTAAGCTGCGACCTTAGATGTCATGGGGTGCTGCTCCATCTTGCAGCTAAGGAAACTGAGGCCAGTTCAGTGAGGTTCAGTGAAGAAGTTGAGGGCAGGCAGTAGGGCACACAGTGCCACTGCCTCACATTTGAATTTGTAGTCAACAAACCTGTTATTTTTCTACTCATTTTTTAGCCATGCTTGTCCTCATATTTGAGCAGATCAGTTTTTGAAGCCGGTTATAAGACTTTACATTTGTCCTCATTAAATTCCATCTTAGGAGATTCTACCTGTCATTTTAATCGGCTGAGATCTTTTTTGGTAGCTGATTCTGTCACCCAACATTCAGCTTTCCCTTCCAACTTTTTGTCACACACAAATTTGATTAACTTAACTATCTCTGCCTTCATGTAAGTAATTTGAAAGAATAAGGACAAATCACAGTCAGTCAATCAACAAGCATTTGCTAGTGATTATGTGCTAGAAATTGGACTTTGAGCTGGGTATAAAGGCAAAAGAAAAAGACGGTCCATGTAGGATCTATTGATTACTCATTAAACTGACCATGAACTGCCATGTAACTCACACTTCTCTGTCTTAGAGCCAACAATAGATGAGACCGATGAGTTACCATTACTCTTTCTTTAATCCACATTTCTTGGTCTTCCAGTTGACCATTCCTGCCCTAAAAGGAAATGAGTTCAGTCTGGCATCACCAGTGGCAAACAAATAGTATCCACTATGTAGATACATTTTTTCTCTCGTAAATAGCCTAGAGCCTTTCTCCTAATTGCCACTATTTGTGCAATCCTTTTCCTTATCAGTGATACCCAATAGCACTGTCTCTATTCCAGGGGTTATCATTTTTTTGTGTATCATGTTATTTTGGGGCAGTTGGGTGGCATGGTGGACAAAGCGGCTGGGCCCGGAGTCCGGAAGACCTGAGTACAAATTTGACCCCTGACATTTACCAGCTGTGTAACCTTAGACAAGTCACTTTGCCTGTTTGCATCAATTTCCTTATCTGTAAAATGGAGATAATAATAATACCTACCTCCAGGACTGTTGTGAGGATCAAGGGAAATAATATTTATACAACACTTAGCATGGCGCCTGACTCATATTAAGCACCATATAAATGTTGTTTTTCATTGTGTCTGACTCTTCGTGACCCCATTGGGGGTTGTCTTGGCAAAGATACTGGAGTGGTTTGTCATTTCTTTCTCCAGCTCATTTTGCAGATGAGGAAACTCAGGCAAACAGGGTTAAGTGAATTGCCCAGTCACAAAGCTAGTAAGTATCTGCGGCCAAATTTGAATTCAGATCTTCCCAACTCCAGGCTCAGCATTCTATACACTGTGACACTTAGTTGCCCCATACAGATATTAGCTATTATTACTATGTATTATTATTGTTATTATTATTATTATTATTATTATTATTATTATTATTATTATTATTTATTATTATTATTATTATGGATCCCTTTGGCCATATTTTGATGTCTACAGGCCCCTTCTCAGAATCATGTTTTTAAATGCATGAAATAAAATACATAGGATTATAAAGAAAACTAGTTATAGGGAAATAGAGTTAGCAAAATATTTTCAAAGTTCACCATCCCTAAGTTAATGACCCCTGGTTTATTCCAATAATACCTGAAGCCCTGAAACTCCCAAAATCAAAGTAAAAGTGGCTCAAAACCACAGATGAGTGAGAAAAAAATACTCTAAATGTGGGGAGTGAGGAGCTCCATAATACCTTCTATGGTTCTGCCACTAAAATTTGTGTTGATCACAAAGACTCTTGTGGGGATCTTTCCTACAGATAAACTTATAAACTTAGATGACATGGTGGATAATGTTCCAAGCCTCAAGTCAGGAAGACCTGAGTTCAACCATTTACAAGCTGTGTGACCCTGGACAAGTCATTTAACCCTGCTTACCTCAGTTTCCTCATCAGTCAAATGAACTGGAGAGGGAAATCAAAAACCACTTCAGTATATTTGCCGAGAAAATACCAAATGAGGTTACAAAGATTCAGACGTGATGAAAAAATGACTGAACAAACAACACTTACCATACTTGTAGCACTGGAAACTTTTGCTCAGGCCTTCTGTATATGTGCTTCTCCTATAGAGTAAAACAATAATGTATGATGATATCTTGAGCCATCCATCATTATGGATTTTAGATTGGAATATGCCACTTCCACTGGACATTTAGATACTTGAAGACCTCCATGACCTACATCTCTAGACTGAACACATCATTTTATTCCATTAATGGTGTGGGAATGCAGATTAGTACTTCTCAAACTAGAGACAGTGGTGGGGGTGTCCAGCAGAGAAAGTGAATGAGGAATTTTAGCTGTTTATAAGCTCACAGAATTAATTTACTAAGAAGGGATGTGTCAAGTAATTTTAAAAATTATATTATTAATTTTTTAAAATTTTTATTTAAGGAGGTCCATTGTGTTTTCTTGAGGAAAATATAGTCAGAACTTTGGACCAGAGCATTACCAGAGCTATCAACATAATACTTTATGATCCTAATAATGTAAGCTGTTCAGGATTCCTCAGAATGGTTTGTTGGGAGAGGTTAACTATGAAGGTTCTACATCTCTCATAGATAGGTTCTTCTTGTCTTCCTGGGTATGACTATGGGGAAAATTGGGGAAGAAAATAGTGAACATACCCTCAGTCCTGAATTGACTCACTGAACTGATGTCAGTTCTCATCAACAACCACGGATCCCATGTGCATTGGAAAACTCAGTACCCCTGCACGATCCTTCACGCATCGCAGAAATATATGGGCAACCTAAGGCTTTTAGGAGAATCTTTTTACCCAGGAACATATATACACATTCTATATATGTATGTGTGGACATATTCTACATACACACATACATATACATATACATATATGTATGTATGTATAAGTATGTGTGTAAATATGTATATGTATGTATCTTTATCTCTATCGCTATAATCCCAGGCCATTTTCCCTGAACTTCCCTGGAATAATATACAAAGAAACCCAAAATAAAATATAAATTTACATTTATGCTATATATAAATTAAAATGCATAAAATGCATTTACAAAGTAAGTGCAGTGAGAGAAGCCATATGTAGAGAACACCTCCAAACAGAGCCTCCCCTGGTGCTTTTCCCTCAGCGCCATAGCTCTGTAATAGGTCTACAAGAGGTAAAGTGGAGTGGGGGGAGTGGAGAACAGATCATTAATCACCATCACTGAGTTGAGTCCTACGCTGATTTAGAGAGTCATTGTGGAACTGTGGTTCCAAGATGAAAAGGGCCATTCCCATGCAGCATAGCTTCAGGTAGAGGGTATGGTCTCTACACAAAGCATTCGTTATACTTGAGTATCCTGATACTGATGTTGAACAAAAAACAACAACAACAACAACAAATCTTTCTAGTATCTCTGTGTTATAGTTACTGAGGCTGTGAGAGCTTCTGTTCAGTTACTAATGAACGAGACTTATCAGAATTCACTCAATATGACACCCCACAATGAAAGCAGGCACCAATCCTGATGCATTGCTAATAAGTGATACCCCAGGTCATATCTTGACCTCCTCTATCCAGACATGGTTGAAGACCAACAAAAAACATTATTCTGAGTGTTACTTTTTGCACGTGTTTTTTATATAATTATATATGTTTGTACCATTTCCCCATAAAAATGAAAAGTTCTGAAACAGTTAAAAATGCTGACAAATGCAGTGATCAATGGTGTGGTTCCAGAAGCACAATTATGAAGACTGTTATCCTCTTTCTGACAGGAAGGAAATGGACTAATGTGCAGAATGAGACACATTTTTGGATATGGACAATTATAAGAATTAATTTTGCTTGACTGCGCACATTAGTTACAAGAGCTTTGAAGATTTTTTCCCAGTGGGGGGATGGGAAAATATAAATTCTTTATCATTGAAAAATAATTCTAAAGGAGATTTGTGAATAGATGAAATGCAAATAAATGGAGAAGAGGAAGACCAAGAAGATGAAGAAGAAGAAGAAGAAGAAGAAGAAGAAGAAGAAGAAAAGAAGAAGAAGAAAAAGGAGGAGGAGGAGGAGAAGGAAGAGAAGAAAGAGGAGGAGATGAAGGAAAAGAAGGAGAAGAAGGAGAAGAAGGAGGAGGAGGAGGAGATGAAGGAGAAGGAGGAGGAGGAGGAGGAGGAGATGAAGGAGAAGAAGGAGAAGGAGAAGAACTAGTAGTAGTAGGAGGAGGAGGAGCAGGAGGAGGAGGAGGAGGCAAGCTCCCAGAGCACAAGAACTATGTCTCCTCTCTTTGTATCCTCAATGACTAGCACATGATAGGTAATTACAAATGCTTGTTCATTGATTGGTACTTCACCAATAATAATCTTTACTCATTTTTCCCCAGGTCAATCTTTACTAGAAATGATGAAACTTGGCTTGATGAAAGTATGTTTTTGCCACCACAATGGTGATCATAAGAAATGTATGCAGAAAAGGGTCCAGGCCCCAAGAGATGATGTGGCATTGCCACATGGGATAATTATGAAAGCGTACCTCCCAAATTCACTTACCAACAATAGCATCAGCGGGAACCTCTCCTTTATGGCTGTCTGGCATTGTTCTTTTAGCTCTGCCCCCTGAAGACTCATCAGAGCCAGAAAGAGGAGCAAACAATAATTCTTCTCTGGCTAACTACGAAATACTCACATGTCTC